TTTGGCAACAATTGTAACGTGATATAAAGTGAGTTGATGCGTTGCAGTCGACACGAGAGCGGTAAGGGTGAAGGCGGTGGAGGTAACGAGAAGTGCCCACGATGCCGGGATCGCACCTTTACGGGAAAAGGTAAGGAGGACACTGGCGATAAAAGTCTGCAAATATAACGCCGCTCGACCCTTGAGGAATCACGTCAGTACTTTTGACAAGATTCAAGGAGATATGACATACACCAACACCCGCAACATCAGGATTTGGAGATATTTCGCAGGGATATTTGCTCTGGACGACTATGCACAAGCGTCGTTCCACGGAACCGAATGGAAAGAAGAAGAGATGGAATCCTGCATATAGCAGCGCGAACCCAGAAATGGCAGCGATAAAAAACAAGGGGATTTGAGAAAATATCGCTTTCCACCTCGGTGGTCTATGGAAAGTAAATTGTACATTTTTCCAGCTCTCGTTATCCATGTATGCCTTTTCGCGTTGACCGCCTGCTAGGTCTAGACCCTCAAAGGAGCGGAAGGCGTTGAATTCACCATATATCTTGTTCATGATACGTGCAATCGGTGGAGGGGGTTTGGGAATGATAGGGAGCACACGGCGTCTGATGAGAGACCCGTCATATCGGATAAGGATTGATTGCGACTGGGAGTCAGGACGGATGAATCGAAGAAGAGTTCGAGCCTCGAAAGACTTTAGGAAAGTCAACGACCCAGGATAAGGGAGCCTATAACTTTCCATGAGGTGTACCAAAGGAGTGGGAGGGGTGTCGTGAATCTTCGTACGCGTGCAACGGATTTGTGCTTGCTGTATACCGTAAGGCGTAGTGGAAAGGTCGAGAGCGGAGATCAGCCGCGAAAATTTACGGATGGATGAACCACCATGAAGAATATCTGACCAACGGGAATCATATTCCGTGTCAGGGCTCTTCAAGTCTTCATCTGTTCCAAGCGTCACCGTAGATGGGTAATGAGTGCCCGACGAGCTTGGTGGATACATGTTTGACAGGCTTGGAGGATCGAGATTGCCTTCTTTCAGGGCATAGTAACGGGATGTTTGCATAGTTAGGATGTGAGTCAAACTTTGCTGCCAGAAACAGGCGCTGGTTTGCAGCGACGCCAGCGATTTCCAGGTGAGAAACCTGGAACGTCGACGTAGTCCAGTTCAAAGTTATACCTGAAAGGATCGCATACACATGGGCCGAAAAAGGCTGCAGGCAGGCAGCAGTCGATCCAGGCAGGCTTGACAGCAGGCGCAAAGCAAGGCCGTTGTCAGCTTAGTGCCAGTATCCTTGTGTTGGCTATGTAACATGGTTAGGCCTGGTTAGGGTTGAGAGTATGGATCGGGACGACCTCGATTACTTAGAGGCATGGGTTCTTGACCTCCAAGCCGTCCTTGAATATAATAATGAGATCGACGGATTCTCGTTCTTCACACCACTTTGCACGTCCACTTGACTATCATCGTTACATCCTGACACAAAATGCCGACTTTCCTGCCTCTGTCCACTGTCAAGGAAATACAAGATACGTGCGTACCATCCGAAGTCAAGGAATATGATCTAGCTATCATGGAATGACAGCTAGCAAGTCAATCGAGCCAAATCGCGTGGCTTGCTCCTCGTATACTTTCACTCTCCGTCTTTGCATTGTCAACGGAAGAGGCACCCTGTTGAGGCCACTCAGCAACCACTTGTACACTTCCTTTCTTCCATCCATTCCACTCCAATACACGCACAGCTCCGCTCCCGGTGGGAGAGGCTGTGGCATCGTCATCATCGGTGAGAAGTATCCACAGACCATCCTCGTCTCCTCCATAGAGGGACTTCGGGAGGATGTCGATGGCGTTGGCTTTACCGCCTGATGTCGGTGTCTGGAAGCGCTCTGCTTCATCAAAGCCTTGACTCGAGTTTGGCAAGTTTATGAAATATCCATTTGTATCAAGAGGGAATATACTTAGCCATCCACGTGAATCGGTGGTTGAGCCACGGGTGGTCGTAATAAGCACTCGAGGGACAGGATTGGAAGGTGTGGATGGTGAAAGTAGAAGGGTATCTCCACGAAAATGATGTTCTGAGCTAGAGGGCGAGGATGTCGATTTTGAGTCTGCCACGCTTTGAGGCAAGAGAGAACGCGACGCGATAAGCACTAGGGACGTGGGTAGGATGCGATATGCATCTACAAGGTTGGCTGCAATGCAATAAACTGAGCCCAATACGAGGACAGTGACTGGATAACATACAATGTTCTGTAACACAATACAGGACTTTCCCGTTCGGATGAATCTTGACATGTCGAGGGCCGTCGTTAGCATCTGCGCCTCGTGGAGATGGCACAGACGTAATGTGCGTTAGAATACCAGTCGCCCGGTCATGGCTAAACATCTCGATAGTGCTTGATCCAAGCACGGGCGCGAAAGCGAGTTGAAGTGAAGGAGTAAATTCAATGCCATGCGATCCATATCGCTGTCAACTCCAGTGGGTAATATATCCAGTGATCAGCGCGACGACATACCAACGCCACTCTAGTTTTGTCGGCCGTCGCAAGTTCACTTTCAGGGACAAAGAGTATTTGCTGGATTTTCTTATCGAATCCGCCTGTGCTAGGGTCAACAAGATGCACCTCCCCCGTGGGTCCACCAGCAGAGTAAATTCGTGAGAAGGGAGGAGGCACGGTGATGTATGACGATGTAGCGGCTGCCTTCGCCTCAGTTTGGAGTTTCTAGAGTTGCGGGATTTTGTTTGAATACACACTTATTGGCACAGTATTGATATGGGTAACCCTCCATTGTTCCGTGCGCTCCACATGCCAGCTGGAAAGGGAAGGCGGGAGCGCCCAGCTTGTCGTGTAAATGCGATCCCTACGCCCATTGGCAGCTAAGTATTGGTGGGGGCCATAAGCTGGTATAGTTTGGATGTGAGATAATGAGCGTTTCGAAGGCGAAAAGGCAAGCAAGAAGAGGGAAAGAGAGCGGAATGAACCCGATAAGATGTGGTGGCTAGCTGTACTTTCCGCAACAAACGTATTGTTTGAAGCAAAGTTCAGGGTATTCTGTACATCCATTACATCCATAGATAGTTGCCAACAGTGAGAAGTTAACTTTCAGGATACAGACTGAGAGAAACCAGGAGGATGTAAGTAGGGGAAGTTGAAGCTCAATAAAGAGCATATCGTTCATGGGGCGGGAAACCTAACCCTGAAACAGGGTCCCATGTGCGTTCCCTTCGGGCGGGTCTTCTCAGAACATCTTCTCAGGGAAAACCATGAGACCCCAACTGGCCGCTCCCACATATAAACAACCATAGGCTGTCGGTCTCCAATATCATTCTATCAGCCATGCTCACTATTCACGGTGTTCTATTATCCGCTTTCTTGGGCATAGGCCTTACCCTCGCACATCACCACCCCAAGACGGACCATGAGATAGAAGTTCAACGGGCTCTTCAAGCTGCAGCATATCATGTGGGCCTTTGCCTATTCGTAATTACTACAGCTGATTCTTAAAATCAATTCGATCTCCTAGTGTGCGCCAGCTGTAGAATCGTTCACGGCGTCTCGGAAGAGAGCTTGGGCACAACAAGTTCTTGCAGGAACACCAGGACTTCCAGGACACCAGCAGCTATTCTCAACGGAAACATACGGAGATCTTGCGGATTCGCCCCACCAGCACTCAGAACACAGTTCTGGCGATGCGACTGACGACGAAACCTTCATGAAGTGCACTCCGATATCCGATACCCACATCCAGAATAACACTTGTGTACTCGCGCCTGAAGTGACCGAGGGGCCGTATTACCATACAGAGGATCATCCGATACGACAGAACATCGCAGGCTATCAGAACGGCTTGCTTCTGGTACGTCGGATCTCAATTTTGCTCTATGTTCAAGAACTAACTGGGCGATTAGCTTTTGGATATTGGTGTGATCGATGTGGAAACATGCAAACCTCTGCCGAATGTTCTGGTTGATATCTGGCAAGCTAACGCGACAGGGTCATATGCAGGTGCGCGTTTCATGTTTCTGAACATATCTGTGTGACTTGACCCTGAACGACGACGTTGATTAGGACATCCCGTGCCACACCCTCATCTTGTCGGTGAGAAGCCAGCGTCAGAAGGCAAGCGGAGAGGCCTTCTTTCGTCCTTTCCTCGTACAGTCCACGAAGAGACGTGGCTTCGAGGTGCATGGCCAACAGATAAAAACGGTGTCGTCCAGTTTACCAGTGCGTGGTATGTTATCTACAGTGATTCATTCTGACGAGTTTGTTTTCCATACATCTAGCTATCTACCCTGGTTACTACACCGGAAGAGCAACCCACATCCACACCAAGGTTTTTCCAGAGTGGTCGGTAATCCAAGAGAACAACACATTCAAGGCTGGTCGACTATCTCATGTTGGGCAGTGGTTCTTCGACGAAGACTTGAACACAGTCATTGACAATGTGCGTCACTTTTCGTTGCACATGTTTCATGCTCATTCTCATATTGCAGATGTACCCGTATGTAACGAATCCCATTCGAGATACTTTGGGACGCACACGGAACATTCAAGACTCCTTGAATATATTCGCGGACAGTCACGGCGCTGAAGGCAAATATAACCCTGTCTTCAAGGTTCACCTACTAGGTGGTGTTGTCTCGCAAGGGCTCGTTGGGTATATCACCATGGTAGGCTAGAATCGTGAACGTCATCTTCAAAGCCAACCACTAAATTGCTCACAATGCAGGGTGTCAACGCCAGCGCATCCTATGACAATTTCTGGAAACCATAGTAGGTCGACGGAACTCGATTGCTCGTTCATCGCCATGCTGTTGTAATAGAAATGTTTTCATTTTTGCTCCCGCCTTCGGATCGCCCTCCGTGAATTATTGATGAACAAAAGAGTGAACGATCAAGAGCACTATAGTCCTAGATGTGTGAGGGATACAATACTACGAAATCGAAATTAGTGAGGTACATAATCGGAGCCCTGTTTGCTTGAAGGAAGAAAAATATGACCGAGACAGGGGTCGAACCTGCAATCTCCTGATGCCAATCATTACAGATCGTAGTCAGACGCGATGCCATTTCGCCACACGGCCAGATGACAATGATCCACCATAGACAGTGTCAGTCCGATTCGTATTGGTGGGATGCAAACAAGTTGAATTTGGAATCTGGCTTTCAAATCATGGCCTTCCTTTTGACCACATAGACGCAGTAGACGCAAGAGCGTCTCGACAGTGGAACATAACGATAGCCATGCAGCATCACTCAAGATATGTTATAGCAACCTCGGGACTTTGTCGTGGATGTCAAAAATGCCGAACAAACGACAAAACAATATTCAGGAATATGTGTCATCTCAGCAACTACTATTCAATGAAATCTATTTTTATCTTCAAAAGACGGCTGCAGTTAGTCGAAACACTTGGAGACGATCCGTTGGGAGAGACGGACATATAAATATGGCGCATCCCGTGCATCTCGCCCTTCATAAACCTGGTCAAATTTCTGGTACTTGAGTATGGTATGACGCCGAGTTCCGGAAAGGCCAAAGACTGGAATTGCATCTGATCATCTCTCATAACACAGAGGCACACAAGTGAGCACGCTTTCCTTTCCGTCCAAGGTTATTCTCATCTATAGAAACACAAGACACTGTTGCCGAACAGTTCCACACAGCTATCTATCCAAAGGTGGAGATGGCGGTGGCGACAGGCATACCTGAAGAAAGCTAATCCTAGCTCCGGATAGGATTTTACCTCCAATCAGCCGTTGTCTATACCCATCTATGGCATGTCTCTTTATGCTAGTCTACCTTGTACATATTTCAAGGTGCGTGTTAATTGCGGATTTGGGGACTTCTGACATACCTTATCCAGAATACAGCGCCTAAATGCTTTACATGACGTATCCGCTCATTTATTCTCAGCTGAAAGCCTTGCGAAGTCGACCCATTGCGCGGTATTACCTCGCTTAATGAATTCTCCTACGATGGTCTTCGTGTGAGGAACTGTCAAGCAAGAATGATTGATGGGACGTCCAAAGGATAATCACATCACGACACAATCAGCCCGAAACATGTCGGAGTCCCATACTCCCCACCCAGAGCCACGAACGTAAGAAAAGTACTCGCTTCGTACCATTCAGCTGATTTTCCAACGTGACGAGCCAAAAGATCTTTATATGGCTCAGAATATCTCCGGAATGGAGGTACCGTGCAGGGGAAGAAGATATAACCGACTACTGAACAAGTTTCATATCCTCTGTTCATTCCACCCATGACTCTCCTCGTCGAAAGGTTTACCCTCGAAGCATCGCCTTCATACCCTCTAAATGTCCTGGCGACTCGATACACACTTGGACCTTCAGACAGTTACACTTCTGGCGACGACTATACACTGATCTGCATGCATGCGATAGGGTCCCATAAAGAATCATGGGAGGTTACCATCAGAGCCCTTTTGAGCATGGGACGGAGGGCTAGACAGTCGACGTATCATATCAGAGACGTCTACTCCATCGAGTGTCCGAATCATGGCGAGTCTGCTGTACTGAACGAAGACGCCTTGAATTCGCTCTTCAAGAATCGTTGTGAGCTTCCCCGCTTAATCAAACTAATTTGTATACCAATGGGTGGCATGTATCCATTGTTAGGGCCCACTCGGGAATACACGAGAGCTGTTCATGCTTTCCTGACAGCTGGAACGTCTCGTGGGGCCAAGGTCGACTTTCAAAAGCACAAACTCGTTGCAGCAGGTCACTGCCTCGGCGCCTTATCCCTGTTAGATTCCAAGTACTTCTTAACACACACATCAATGATGACCGAAGCTTCCAGATTTTTCATGCATGAAATGAGGCCCCGTGTCAGAATTCAGTCTATCATTGCAATTGAACCGGGTTTCTCTCCTGGCTTGGATTATCCCGACTATCGCGATCTGTTTAGGAGGATGCAAGGTTGGGTATGGCTTCGGAGAGACGTCTGGGCGGACAAAAAGGCAGCCTTCGACGACCTATCAAGAAACCCTGTCTTCTCTGGATGGGATCAGTCCGTGTTGTTCCTATACATTGTAAGCCATTGTTCCCCGACACCTGAAAGAAGATGGCTCATTCTACCTCGACCAACAGGAGCATGCATTGAGCGATCACCCGGCCTCCAAATATCCACAGCCCTACACGTTTAAAGGCGTTGTTGTATCGACTACAAAGGAACAAGAGGCGGTTGAGTAACTAACAGCTTTTGGTGGTATCGTTTTTGACCCGGGCTTCTAGGCAACTTATAGGAGTGATGAACTGATAGGACAACCTCTGGACGCTTGCAATATTGCCGCTCGTGAAGTACCTGTCCACCTTATATGGGGAGACGTAAGCGATGTGTTGTATGTATTCTACAATTTCTTCGCATGGCATTGAGCTCATGCCCCGAAGGCCTAGCCATGTTAAACACTACATATCGGAAAAGTCAGGTGCTGCTTCAGTGGAGTTTATAAAGGGTGCAGGACATCTGGTAAGTCCCCGGCCTTACCTCCAGTAGTGACGGAAACTAAACCCTGCTTCGCAATTAGATATTGCAGCAGAAACCAGAGTTGATTGCTCACAAGATACATGACCGGCTGACTTTCCTGGCGCCCTTGAAGGCGGTACTTTAAGCTTCAAGTCTGTCATGTTTGATCAGGCTCAAATGCCTTTTTATCTTTGATTTTCGCCAAGGTCAGTCCTGACCGCGTATATACGACAGCTGTGGACATCAACTGAACCAAGTCTTGACAGATGGTACATATATCGCCTTAGGTCAATAGACCAATAATGATGCATGGTATATCACGAACAAGCCTATCTTACAAATGTACTTATTTTCCTGTGAATAATCCGGCGCTCTTCCAGTATCTAACCCACAGATGAGCATCACGGGCTCCGATTGCTGGTAAATCCTTCATCGTCTTGCTGATAGTTTGAGCTTTGACTGTCGAGAAGTTGGCCAAGCCGCCGCTTTCTGCGTCATGTTTATTCACTAGACGCAATGTCGCATCTGTGTCTGCAAAGGAACGGAAGAAGTCAAGGATCTTGATTGCGGGCTGGGCAAATGCTATATGAGAACGGCATCTCCGACTTTTCGAGAGGGTAACCTACAATTTGCTTGATAACATCATCTGTGGCATTGATCGAGCGTGCCTCTAGTAGCGAGAACCATTCCTTGAACGAAACCACTGGAATCCTGCTAGCTGATACTCCCTCTTGCACTAAGGCGTCGTTGATATCTGACATGAGAACTTCCCAAGAGACTGGTCGGGGATGGACGAGATTAAGAGCATCAGCAGATTTGGAATCTGACAGTGCGACGTCGAGGATAGCTTGGGAGACAGAATGCATCGGCAACCATGACGAGTACTACAGAAGTTTTGTTAACAACGGCTTGCAATCCAAGGAAGTCATTTACCCCGATAGCCGACGGAAGTGCGTTTAGATGGATACTCGATTGAACTAGAATTGGTACCCAATCGGTAATCGCCCAAGCCCCATTAGGGATTCCACCGCAAATCTGGCCAATTCTGAAGGATGTTGTCTGTACTCCGCTTTGAGATAGAATCTGCAATATGAAGCACAAGGGGTGATCAAGAATAAATCGAGAATAAATATAGAAAACCTACCCTTTCGGAAACATATTTGCTCTCTCCGTAACCATTGCCTACAGCGAAGCGAGGATCTGTGACGACTTCTTCGGGATATGGGCCTCGGGACTGATCCCAGGAATAAGCAGACGCTACGGATGATGTAAACAGAAACTTCAAAGACGAAGCATGGGAGCTCGAGCGTGCCAGGTCGATGAGATTTCGAGTTCCACGAATGTTGGGCTCGAAGGATGAGAGGGAAAGATTGAAGTCCAATCTCCAAGCGTTGTGGATGATGACCGTGACAGTGTTTAACAACTGCGAAAGGACTCGTCGCATGAGGTGTTAGTAAACGTTTCGAGACTTACGTACCTCGTCATAGGTTTCCTTCACAAGGCCTAGGTCACCCTTTGACATATCGCCTTCCACGAATACCAATTTGTTCGAGGAAAGAAGTTCAATGTCGAAACCCTTGTCTAAGAAACGCTCGATATGCCTTTGAGCAATTGTCTGTGATCCTTTTGATGGGCGATTGAAAGAATAGATGCGTTTGACCAAAGGATCACGTAGGATTGTCTCCAGAACTTGAGAGCCGAGGTTTCCGGTCGAACCAGTGATGAGCACTACGGCGACGTTCGGGCTACTGCCGTTATTGAGCCCAGCACGTAGTAATGGCTCGTTCAATCCAGCACTATATGTCGATATCATGTGCTCAATCTCTTCGGTTCTGTTAGTTGTTTCCACAAAGGCGGATGGGTCCTTGACAATTTGAACCAAGAACTTCGACAGCTTTGCAATCGATGGGTAAGTATAGATTGTGTTCTGAGCCACCAATTGAGCCGCTTTCTGAGTCTCCTTTGATCGAAGGGCGCCGGTAATACGTCGACGTAAGATAGTGGCACTCAAGCTGGATGATATTACTCAATAATTGTAGCAGAAACAGACCATTGTATCCGCACCTGTCCATTCCTTGCTCAAACACGTCTCCAGAGATTGAGAATTCCCTTCCTGAGTGAATATCTTCGATCTGTTCTTTCAACCAATGTTCGGTATTCTCCGTTGTCCATGAAGCAGGAGGAACGACATTTTCGATTCCTGTCGTCGATTCAACTGTTGCGTAACTAAGAAAGATAAAGGGTTAAGTTATAGCAATGACGTAGAGGGCTGTGTTATACATTGCTTCAATTTCCTCGTTGTACAACGACAAGGCTGCCTTGCGCATTATAGTCCCTTTCCCAGCACGAGGAAGAGGTTTATCAGGGGATGAGATGAGGACCAACTCTTTGAATAGCCTGCTGTACGTGGGCGCAACCTTGTTGGCCTCTTCGATGAACGGCCTGGGTGCTGTGAGATAATGAGATCAAGAGATGGACTGCACGTCCCGTACCAGATTAGGTTCCTCCCTTTCACTAATTCCGCCTCGTCTCTGGGGTTTATCGCATGCGTTGGCTTGAGCTCAATAAGAATACCAGCCTGGTCATGCTCGCGTC